TGGGGCAGTGGTGGGCAATCAAGAGACCACCAGCACCACCGCCGTCCAAGCGTCTGAAAACTTCGCCGGAATCGCCATGGGTAACGTCGAAGAAGAGAGCAGCGGCGTAAGAAGGAGAGGCGAAGAAGTTACGGGTAGGGGCGAAGTGACGGGTAGGGTTTGGGGAGAGGGATTAAATACTCTTTCCAAATCAGGCCCACTAAATAGAATTTGGCCCAAACCCAACCAAATTAAAAATAACCAGTGGATTTTTGACTGTGGGGCTACTGACACGATGTCCTTCGACCGTTCTGATTTTAATTCTCTAAATTGGTCTAAGAAAATCCATATCCAAACGGCCAATGGGGATTATTCTCGTGTCGAGAGCACTGGTCCAATATCTATCTCAAATTCTATTCGACTGGAGAATTGTCTATTTGTTCCCACATTGTCTCACAAATTGCTGTCAATAAGCCATGTCACAAAACAATTAAATTGCATGGTTCTAATGCATCCCACTTTTTGCTTATTACAGGATATTCAGACGGGGAAGATCATTGGGCGTGGTTCTGAGCGTAATGGCCTGTACTATGTCGAGGAATTTGATCATTACGGAACAGCTATGCTTGCTCATGGGACAGTGGACAGGCAGGCATGGTTGTGGCATCGTCGTTTGGGACATCCATCTTGGGGGTATCTCAAAATTCTCTTTCCAAAATTATTCAATAAATCATGTCAGTTTCATTGCAACAGTTGTATTCTAGCCAAAAGTCATAAACATTCCTATCCGTTAAATTAATACAGTTGCATCACAACCTTTCTCATTAGTCCATTCTGATGTGTGGGATCCATCTCCAGAACCGAGTCCAAATGGGTATCAATATTTTTTATTGTTTGTTGATGATTGTACCCGTATGACTTGGGTGTACTTTCTTAAACACAAATCTGAAGTTTTTGAAAAGTTCACCTCATTTTACAAATTGATCAACACACAATACCAAAAACAGATCTGTATTCTTCGATCTGATAATGGAGGAGAATACATAAATCATCCCATGGAAAATTTCTGTAAGGAAAAAGGTCTTATCCATCAAACCACTTGTC